TTAAATTTATTTAACATTTAAAATACATTTTATAATAATGTTTAAATTATTTACATTATCATATTATTTTTTATATTATTTGAGAAATTTTAAATAAATTTAATAAAATTTGATTGAAAAATTAAAATTCACACAATTTTAAATATAAAAAAATAAATTAGTCCAAAGTTTGTTTAAAAAAAATAATTCTATTTTTTATTTAAAATTAAGAAAAAATATATATTTAACTCTAAAATATTAGATAATGAAAGCCGGTGCATTAACTAAAATATCTAATCATTAATATGGAATAATGAATTTGAACATTCATGAATTACTTAATTCATAGCTTCTAAAATCCAGGCAGACTAAAAAACAATTTTCACTTTCTTTTAGATATTAGTTAATTCAGCTTTAAATCAGAGAAAAAGAAGAGCAGAGTTTACAACTACTCCTTTAGAAATGTTGTGATTTTCTGACAGAGTTGGAAGTGGTTTTGAGATCCGAGGTGGAGGGTTAGTTAATCCAATTCAACCAATGAGCTGGATCCACTCTTTCAGGAGTAACCTTAAAATATGATAATATTAATATTGTACAATGTCAAAATAATTACAGACACCAACATTTTAATAATATTATTATTATTTTGACAACATTATTTTATGGAAAGTAATAAAATATGCCAGAAACTGAGCATCCGTTTGAAACAGAGCAAAAAAAACTCTTTCAGAATCAGAGCCTCAATCATTTCCATTATTTATACGCTATATTATCTGCAAGCCAAAAGAAATTCCATTACCCTTTTCTCTGTTTCTTGGCCTGAACTCTTGTAACAACTCACTCTTGTGTTATTATATTTAACACTCTCATGATGATGCCACTTTCAACCATGTGAAGCTGTTTCAGTCTCAGTTTCTTGTTGTCAACTGTTTTGGATCTTCTCAAACATGAATCTCGGCAGCGGCAAGGGATCAACTTCCAGTTCTCCTCTGAAAACCGGGGATGTTGTCTCCGACCAGTTTCCGGCGGGTCTCAGGGTGATGGTGGTGGATGATGATCCCACTTGTCTTAGGATACTTGAGAGGATGCTGCGTGCTTGTCTCTATGAAGGTGCTTATTCGCTTTCTTTCTTTCTTTTGGGTACAGAAAAGAAATGCAATTTGCTTCTTTTCTTTTTTTTTTAATGTTTATGTGGTCGTGGATAGTACTTGTACTTGTCAATCACCTCCAACTGTGTCTTGTTATGGAGTTTTTGCTCCAAACATGTTGTTTGATACGGTAGTTACAGTAAGTTTGGATTCTTGCTGCAATCTTTCTTTTCAAGTTGACGCTATTTTTTTTTGTATGGTTAAATAGCATGGCATGAAGTGATTGATGGTGTTTGTTTTCATCTTGTGCTGACAGATTTATTTGTTAATTGTTTTTTTCAAACCTTTGGAATTGGTTCTAAAGTAAAGTTGGAGTCGTGATGAGTATACTTGTGCTGTGCCTCTTTTTTCACTTTCCTTTTTCTGCATTTTGAGTTGTGAAATTTGAGATTTTGCGATTTGATTCGGTTTGGTTGTTGGGTTCAGTGACGAAATGCAAGCGGGCTGAGGTTGCATTGTCGCTTCTGAGAGAGAACAAAAACGGGTTTGACATTGTTTTGAGCGATGTGCATATGCCAGACATGGATGGATTCAAGCTTCTGGAGCATATTGGGTTGGAGATGGACCTTCCGGTTATTAGTAAGCATCGTTTTGATTGGTTTATGGCTATTGAGAGACACTGCATTGATATGCAGTTACAAACTTTGTGTGAATGATTTTTACAGTGATGTCTGCTGATGATGGAAAAAGCGTTGTGATGAAAGGGGTGACACACGGTGCCTGTGATTATCTGATTAAACCTGTGAGAATTGAGGCTTTGAAGAACATATGGCAGCATGTGATTCGGAAGAGAAAGAATGGGTTGAAAGATGCAGAGCAATCGGGTAGTGTGGAGGAAGGAGATCGGCTTCTAAAAGGGTGTGACGATGGAGATTATTCATCTTCAGTGAATGAAGGCAAAGGCTCAAAGAAGAGGAGGGATGAGGAGGAAGAAGGAGATGAGAGGGATGATTCCTCCACGTTGAAGAAGCCACGAGTTGTTTGGTCTGTTGAGCTTCATCAGCAGTTTATGGCTGCTGTGAATCAACTTGGAATTGATAGTATGTGTTCCTCAATCACCTCCTTGCAAAAAAATGTTCTGTTGCTTTTCCATGCTGTCTTATCTGACACAGCAAACAATGCCTCCCACTACTTTTGATCTTTGGATTCTTTATGTCTAATTTCGAACTGGACAAGAATCTTGAAAGCATCAAATCCACACATTTACTACTTGCATCTTCCATGTCAGATTGCAATATTTTGGGATGACCCCTTCTAGCCTTTCATGACTGTCACAAATACCCAAATCAGTTTCCAACTATATATCATGTTTTAACCATATTCAATATGGTTAAAACATTACAGTTCCTAGAGTGGCCTTAGCTTTGGAAAATTGTTTTTATCTCTAAACTAGTTTCATTTTCACCCACAACTAATTCCTGAATATCTAATATACCAATAGATCCGGTGATATCTTCTTGCCTGGTTCGTTAGAGTTTTATTTAAATATAAATGCCTCATCTGATGTTTTAAATTTGTTGTTCATGTACAGAGGCAGTTCCTAAGAAGATTCTGGAGTTGATGAATGTTCCTGGGCTCACTAGAGAAAATGTTGCCAGCCACCTCCAGGTTTGATACTGTTATTATGCTTCATATAACATACTTTGGGGGAAATTCAGGAATTGATGTTAGCCATAGTTTAAACTTTTTGTCGTGCTCATTTTTACGGTATCAGTTTTGATTTGAAGGAGTTTTCTCTTTTTCTACCTGCTTTTTGGTACAGAAATACCGTTTGTATCTTCGAAGACTGAGTGGAGTTTCACAGCAGCAGGGCAACTTGACCAACTCCTTCATCAGCTCACAAGAAGCAACATTTGGGGCAACCTCAATCAATGGAATTGATCTTCAAACTCTTTCAGTTGCCGGTCAGCTTCCAGCTCAAAGTCTAGCTAAGCTTCAAGCCGTAGCACTTGGCAGGACAACTTCTAAAGCTGGTGTGTCTATGCCTCTATCTGATCAAAAGAACCTTTTCAGTTTTGAGAGCCCAAGATTAAGATTTGCAGAAGGGTCACTGCATCATTTAAGCAACAGTAAACCAATGAACCTGCTTCATGGCATTCCTACCAACATGGAGCCGAAACAGCTTGTCACTCTGCACCAATCTACCCAAACCCTTGGTAACTTGAACATGCGAGTCAGTACTCCTGCTGCACAGAACAACCCCTTGTTGATGCAGATGGCTCAGTCTCAACCAAGAGGTCAGATTCTAAGTGAAAATGCCGATTCTCATGCAACCAGGTTTCCATCATCTTTGGTTCAGCCTATAGTACCAAATAGTATTTCTAATGGTGTTTTGGGAAATAGAATTACTGGCTCCAGCAACATAACTAGTGCTTATAATACAGTTCCACAAAACTCTTCATTGTTGAGTTTTCCCATCAACCAAACCAATGAAATGCCTGTCGGTAATTTTCCTCTTAGAAGCACTCCAGGTATAACTAGTATCCCGACTAAAGCCATGTTTCATGAAGAAGGTACCTCCGGCATTACAGGACCTGATGGATTTGTTTCAAGTTATGATATGTTTAATGAACTCCACCATCAGAAGTCCCATGATTGGGACTTAACAAGCACGGGCATAACATATGATTCTTCTCAGCATGCAAATCCTTTACAAGGTAACATTGATGTCTCACCATCAGTTTTAGTCCATCAGGGTTTTCCCTGCTTGCAACAGTCTGTGCAAACTAGAGATTCCACTTCAATTGGAAAACCTCTGTTCTCCACTGGGGAAGCCATACATCAGAGTAATCTCCAAAATGTTAGTCAACAACACCTCAATAACCTTGTTGACAGTTCAGTAAGGGTTAAGGCTGAAACATTTCCTGATCCAAGCTCCCAGATTAATAACCTCTTCTCTGATCAGTACGGTCAGGAGGATCTTGTCACTGCATTTCTGAAACAGGTTGGTCCTTTCCTTCCTTCCTTTTCTGTACACATATCCTTTCACATAGTTTTCCTTTATAAACTAATCATTTTCTTGTGTTTTTCTGGCAGCAAGAAGGTGTAGGACCATCTGATCACGATTTAGACTTTGATGGATATTCCTTAGACAACATTCCGGTTTAGAACTGATCCTGTCAGATCTCTTTTTAATTGCAGACGCCAATGTAAATAGTTGGCGTTCCATTTGAACCAAATCATCTTGCAATCAGTTAGTTTGTTCCTTAGTTTAAATTTGTCAACACATAGAATTCAGTTGATGTAAAAAATTCAGGCATCAGGGAGTAGTATGCTATTATGATTTAGTCTGGATGCTCAAAATCAGTTAAGTGATCTATCAAGATGAATAATAACAAACATTAAATGCATGTATGCAGAAGGCATATTTGCAAGTTTTGGCTGCTTTTGATTGCAAAGATCCTAGCAAGCTTCTACTGTTGAAGTGTACATGGAGACATTGATTTAGGGCAGAACTGCAGAAGCAAGGTTTTGATACTACTGCAGACTTGTAGGAGCATTTTTAACTTTAATAACACCCTCATGAAATGTTTTTTCCTCTGATCTTTTTTTTCTTCCTTTTTTTTGTTTTTCTGTAAGTATGTAAATATTCCACTGCCCATTGTTTTGTGGTTGCTTCTTTGCTTGGATAGTACTTGTTCAATCATGTTTTCTGTAGACAATCTGCTCTTTTTTTCATTATGATATGCACACCATGCAAATGAAACTGATTAGGTTTATGGGATTTTATGTCCAAAACTATGAATAATTCGTAAATGTTAACTGCAGAAAAAGAAAAATAAGGGACTGTCCAAGGATTAGAAAAAATATATCTCTATATTTTCTAACACAATTCCAGAATTAACATCCTGTAAAGAATCGTACAAAAACGGATATACAACACATGATGATGATGATGTGGCTAAATAAACCCTGTCACAGAACAACAACCGATCAAACAGTGCCACTATTGCGACATGAAGAAGACCGACAACAACATCAGTAAGAACATCATAGTAGCCAAAGGAACCTCCGTTCTCGCAACACTGCTTGGTAACACCGAAGGAAGAGAACATTCTTCCCCATTGAAGAACACTTTACTTGGAAACGCATCACCACCAACCACATTGATTCCAGGGGTCTCCTTCTTCGTAAACGAGATCACCGATTGCTGTTTCCCCGGCACCCTAGGATCTTTCCGAGGGTTAGATCCATCAGTTTCCGCCACAAGAAAATTCAACCCCTCTTTCCCTTGCATGAAGATCGTGTTCTCCACACTCTCCAAAAGGCTTCCGTTGAACGAGTACACTTCCTCAAACCCCTTCGCAGCTTTGTCCATTTCCACTGCAGCAAACCAGTCAGCAAAACTGGTGTCACCCCAGTTGAAAAGTGTCACCCTCGCGGTCCAACCTTTGCGGTAATCCGTGGCCACGTGCCAGTTTATGCTCACACCACAGTTGTCACCACAAGGCATGGGATTAGGCACAGGTAAATGTTTAATCTCAGCCCAAGAAACGGCCTTCTTAGTTCGGTTCTCAAAAGGGACAAGAAGTGCCTCCGGTGGAAGCAACATAGCTTGTGAAGCTGCGCTGCATGTTCTCTCCGGATTACTTGGACATCCACATGCACACGTGTTGCATGGGATAACCGATTCATTGTAATAAGCTGAGAAAGAAACGCAGCACTTGGGAGTTTCACGTTCTGTGCTTGTGATGTTGCAGACCACTTGCCAAGTTGCAATTGATGATTTGTTTGATGGAGGGTGAGTGAGGTCAGGGGATTCAGTTGGACTAACCCTGATAGGGTTGCCACATTCATAGTTAGGGTTAAAGGTACCCTTTATCTCCCAGTTACGAGGAGGTGTGAGGGTGGAGCGGTTAAGGTTGGGTGGCATTTTGAAGACTTGAATTTGGAACCTTGAAGTTGACATGCTAGGGTCCATTGTTGGTGGCAAGATGGTGCCATTCCTGCAGCAGAATGGGATTTGACCGAGTTCTGAATCGTTGAACCTTGAGGGAGGAAGATCCACTATGGTTGGCCTTCTTTCACAGTTCAAGACGTTAGCAAAGTCTAGTTCCTTGTAGAAACTACCTTGAGAACCGAAAACACAGTCGGAGGAATCCACTTTTAATGGATATGCACCCTTTGTCGTGTAGATGAACTCGTCGTTTTGCCAGTCCCAGCTTAGTCTCCAGTTATCGAGACGGCCCAAAGGGTTGTCGTTTGCGATTGTAACCTCTGCCCAGTAATTGGAATCGTAGGTTCTGATGATGTCGTATGTGATGCTAAGATCACCCTTCTCACGGGGAAGAAACTCTACCTCTGTGCTCACGTTTGTTCTGGAACTGGGATCACTTCTGCAACACACATGCGTTTCATTGCTCCCTGAAAATCAAATCAAACATTCATATGAAGAGTAATCACATCAATTTTATCAACATTTCTTACACATAAATGTCTTGTCTTCTTCACTAAAATATCTTTTTCTAAGGAAGAAAATTAAATATTTTAAATAAATTATATATTTTTTTAAGATTTTTTATAAATCCATGACGGAATTGTAATATTTGACTTTTATACATAAATTTTTTTTCTCACTTTTTTCTCTGTTCCACAAAACTGAACAAATAAAATAAAAACTACCTTCTCCGGAGGGTTGACCACAGACGAATCCATCGTTAGCCAAAGTAACCGACCGAGGCATCGGCACGGAAGGTGGTGCCACCCCAAGAAGGCTCCCCACCATCTCCACCTGAACCTGCATCTGGGTCAAGTCGCCGGCGGTCGCCACCGCCGTCTTCAGATCCTTCACCGACGACCCGCTCAACACGGTGCCGTTCCCAACCGCACCGGGAATACTTGTACCGTCCGCGAGCACGGCGTTCGACGCGGAAACCAACCACTCGCCGTGCTGAAACCCCACGAACACCTTCCAAGACTTCAGCTCCTCCAACCCGTTGTTCAGCACTGTCAGCCTCGACTCGAACCGGTAAGGCTGCTGCGTCGCGTCGGAAACGTTCGGCGGCAGCCGCTCGCCGCCGGTGTAGACGTAGGAGACGAATATTCCATTGCAGGAAGCTGCGGTTTGCGACTGAGACATCGACGGCGTTGCCGAAAAGATGCAAGCGTTAAGAAGACGAAGACGTGGACATGCATGGACATGGCTAAGAACTCCGAACAAAGTGCCTGAAGCGAAAAAATTGTGTATATGCGTGGTTTTGGTGTTAGATGTTAGAATATCATGGTATATGAATATAGGAATATTAATGTTTAAGGTTGTCATGGTCTTTGAGTTGATTGATTCAAGAGACAGAGCACGTAATTTATCGAAGTTTTGTTTGTTATATAGTTTTGGATTGTCAAAATGGTGACAGATTTTGGTTTTGAGGTTTCGTGTCTGATAATGGTATTGTTTGTCTATGTTTGGACATGAACACGGACATGGTCAAGGACAAGATGGTATGGTTCGGCCAAATGGCGTACTGAGTTGAAATGGTATTTGAGAGTAGGTTGGAATTTGGGTTTTCAATATTGGTCACAATCACTACCAAGAGATTATGAACACTTAGCTGTTTAAGAAATTTTCTTACTTCAAGATTTATTAATAAATTGAGAAAGAAGAAAGTACATATAAATTACCATTGATATCTACTCCTAATCATATAAGACTGTGTTGTTTTGTTTACTGATTCTTAAAGGGTGACCAAGTGAAGAAGGAGAAAAGGTATTTGTTAGCCATTGATTATGTGTTCACATTTCTTGTCCAATTAATTTAATTTCATCACTTCTGTATCTAACTAATTTAAATTCGACAAAGATTATAATTTTTTTTTATTATAGTTAAGTTTCTTACTGTCAAAAAAATATTTCCTATTGTTATTCAATTATTTTTCGTTATAATTAGTGTTCTCTTTTTATATCTCAATTACAAGATTTTCCTATATGTAACATAGAAAAATATTTTACTCTGCATCTGTTTAGGAATGTTGTTCCCTTCATCACCACCACATACTCTTTGCACTACCCCATATCCAACTTATCCTTGATATAAAATGGATGTCAACATCCATTTCAACACCCCATACCCGATTTTATAATTAATTATATTCAACTGATATGCCACATCCGTTTAAGTATTTTTCTTTTTGTTTTTTAAATATTATATTTAATTAATTTATAAATTCTTTTTATTATTTTTATTTTTTTATAATATATTACGAAAATTAATTTTATTTTACTTAATTAAATAATTATTATTAATTTAATTAAATAATATTTATATATTAATTTAAAATATATAAATTAATAAACTAAAAAATAACTTACATATGGCATATCCGTTTAATTTATAATATTTATATATTATAACAATTAATTAAATAATAATATATAAATTAAATTAATAATAATTTTTTATTAAATAAAATAAAATTAATTTATATATAATTATGTAATAAATTTAAAATAAAATTAAATAATATTTATATATTAATTTAAAATTAAATAAATTAATAAACTAAAAACTAAAAAAAAAAATCTTAACGGACGTGGCACATCCGTTTAACTAATTATATAAAAAATATTAAATTAATAAACGAAAAACTAAGAAAAAACTTGAATGGATGTAGCCACATCCGTTAACGGATATGCGATATCCGTTGAAGTATTTTGTCTTCAACGAATGTCGACATCCGTTGAAAAAAAATGTGAAGATGTAAGATATTTTAAAATATAAATGATAGTTTTAGAATTTTTAAAAAATATGATGGTGCAGGGAGCAATGTGAGGTGGTGTAGGGAGTAATCTGTTTAGCGTGAACTTAACAAAATGAGCGTGAGAATAATAAAGCCCAAAAGAGAGGGACTATTGCATGGCCCAGTTTATTGGTATGGGTTGTTAATTGTTTTTTTTTGTGTTGGAAATAATTTTTTGTAAACATTCTAAATTTGGGTGGGCCTGGGAGTATTATATTAAATACTATTTTATTCAATTATTTCTATACTCAGAAGGGATTGGAGCTTGAGATTAAAGATGAGTGTTGTAAAAGGGACAACATGATAAGGAAGAGAAGAAAGTAGGAGATAATGGAAGAAAAGAAAAATGAAAAACAATTTAGAATGTTTAAAAGATAATTTTATCATTCAAATTAACCTGTTGAACCAGAATGATATATTACATTTAAAGAAATAATAGAATGAATTTATACTTCCCTAAAATATTGATATAAAATTGAATTAAGAATAAAAATAGAAAACACAATTAAAACTTAAACTAATCATAAAAATTACTTTCATTAGTTAATCAGTACCGTATTTATTATTTTAAGTATGATACATTATTTTTCACATTATATAATATAGCCTTAATTATGTTTTAAGCTCATCATAAATTTAAAAACTTTCAATTTAGTTCTAATAAATCTTTAGAATCAATTGAGTATTTAATAAAATATAAATTATAAATTTTTAAAATAATAAAATAATATACTATGAAACAAGATCACATGACAAAATAATAATTATGTCTGTCAATTAACAGTCACATTCTTCAAAAGAGTATTTAACAAAAAAAAGTTAAAAAATAAAAATTTATTGAACTTTCAATAAACTTTAAAAATATATTAAAAACTTAATTGAAAATTTTCAAATAAACATAAAAACATAATTATGCTTATAATATAATATAATAAGATGTTATATTTAAGCCATAAAAACAAATTCTCTTCCCCTTTAAAAATAATTTAAAAAAGAATCAATGAGGATGAGTCTTGATTTTGAAACACTTCTTCTGAAATCTATCCATCTATTCTAATATGCTGCATCACATTTAAAATAAGAATTTCACAAAACTATACATAAACTTCATTATGTAGGTATCAACTTGACTCCATATTATTATGCATTTTTAAAACGTGTATAAAAACTTATTAAATTTAAGTATTTAAGTAGGTTGGTCCAGCATTGCATGAACATACATTGTAATGTTATTGCTAATAATTTTTCTGACATTGTCAGTATATTTATTATGGTCCACCTTCTTAATCAACTCTCTCAATCACTGCTCTATCTTGTTTATTATATTATATTATTTTTTTAATTTTATTTAGGTTTTATTAAGTATCCATAGATATTTGTAAATTTCAAAATACCCATAACTAGGAACGAATAACAGTTACAGATTAAGTAGTGATTTATCTAGATTTAATGTATGAAGCCTAACACAGGTTCAATCAAAATTTTGTAATCAAATTCATACGTTTAAGATATAAATTAAAAAAAAACTGATGAAATATAATATTTAAGATCATATTTTTTAATATAAAATTATAAGTTATCAGAATAAAAAAATATTTAAAACTGTTTAAAATTAAAATATAAATAAAAAGGCCATTAAATTATAAAAATTATAATATTCTTATGTTAAAAAGTATAAAATGATTTTGAAAATGATGTAACATAAAGAAATGACGTAAATTAAAATAATATTTATAATGTGATACGAAACACGTGCCCTGAAAAATTCAATTGAGGAACCAAATTATATGAGGACCCACCCACTAATAATTTGAGAAAGGAACTTAATTGGGCTGGTTGGATCATAAAGGATCCAATGGGGCCAGTAATTGTGGCCCATCCTTTCAGTGTTTTTCCAAATTCATGTTACTTAAGCACTAATTAAGCGGATTTCTTGACCAAATTTGATGATGAAAAAGCATATTTTTCCGTTATTAGTATAAAACATACAACTTAGGTATCTGAGGTGAACATGATCCACCATAACGTCACACAATTACATTATCTCTCTTTTATACAATGAAAATTAAATTATCATATACTTATCATTATCTAAATGGTTATTGATGAGTTTATAAAATAGAGTTCTAATGAAAATTCATTGTCTTCAATTTCACTCATATCATCATCTTTAACTTATGATGACCACGCATGCACAAGAGACATTTATTATTATTTTAATGTTTATTTTATCTTTAACTATATAAATTCTTGTAGTTGATTATTTAATAGATTTTAAGAGGATAAAGTCAATTTAAATTTGACAATTCAGCTATTAAATGCATATAGTAGATGTAATCATCTATTCCCTTATTTCAAACCTATATTTTTAAATTTCAGAGTGGATATTTGATTAACAATGACCTAGCTAGGCCCAATTAATGGTAATTACACTTTATCTTAAGTTACTTAACGTTACAATTAATCTCTTTATCGACTGACCATTCGGTTTTACCGTGCGATCACTAGAATATTGTTAGAAATGTCTGACTTTACTACTAGTTAACTGTTTGGTTTGTGACTGATCTATTGGTTAACTGTTTGGTTTGTGACTGATCTATTGGTTAACTGTTTGGTTTGTGACTGATCTATTGGTCATTTGTTACCGAAATTAAACAAGTTCGGTTGAATTTTTTAGTATTGGGAGCATTAAAAATATGCTGACATTGATATATTAATATTTTAATATATTTTAAAAATGAAAATCAATATTTATCATTATATTGTGTGTATTTAACAGAGAAATCAAATTCAAACTAAACGATTTCCAAAGTCTTTCGTCTCATTTGAATATTCTTTATGGTATACCATCGAAGTGACTCCAAAATTTGAGGATTCAATAATGTTGGAAATCTTTGATAGATGATCAATTACAGGAAATAATAAACCTTGGGGAAGCAAAAACACGTATATATTATGATTCACTAGTACAAAACACCGGATAACGTCGGTGTTTTTTGGCCTTTCACGTTGAATTTAAGGTCGACGTCATATCGAGAGACATTAAAATGATATCGAACATAGAACAATTCGACATTTATAGTAAAACAAATTAACGTCGAATTTTGTCAATATGCAACGTTAATCAATATTTTTGTTTTTTTTAATTAATCGTGATGCTTTTTCACAACTTTACGAGACTTGAAAAGCAGAAAAACAACAAATTTCAGTTTTTTGTATTTTATAAAGCACGAACTATGAACGTGTAATGTAGTATGAACAACAAACAACAATAACAAACAACAATAACAAACAACAAACAAGTTCAATCAAACAACAACAACACAGGTTCAACCAAACAACAACAACAAACAAACAAGTTCAACAAAAAAAACAACAAACAAGTTCAACAAATAAGTTCTTCTAAAACGAAAACGAAAGTTAACCTTCAAAAGGTGGATTCGTCGAAATAAAGTGTTGTCACCAGTGAAAGAGAAAACAGAATGCGCCTATGAAGGACAAGAACAAAAGAATAATCGGTCAAAAAAAACGAAAATCATACCTAAAATAGTTAATTAACGTGCATTTGTAACAAATAAAAGAAAGATTACATGTAATGGTCGTCAAACTTCGTTGTAAAAAAGTTTGAGCAGAGAAGAGGTATCGCGCGCTAAGATAAAGTGAATGAATTTTCAATCTCTTGCTCAAACTTTTATTGCATTCACTAACCTTTTAACGTAAC